TGATATAATCCGCAAGGCGTATACTTATACACAAAAAGTGATTATTATTATATACGTCAATTTTTCGGCGAAATTCGGGTAAAATAGCAGAATAACCCCAACATTTTTTTCTGAAATTTCTTGTATACAATTAAAAAAAATAAATATGATGACATTATTTTTTCGAACCAAAAACAAATATTTTTCCTCGATATCTTGTTTTGTTGTCGCTGTGATTTAGAAACCGCTACACGGACTTGTGTGATTTTGATATCATTTGATTCATCATGGTGTTTAGATTATGTAGATATTCTTAAATGAATTTTTAGGTGTGTGTATGTCATTAATATAATGAAAACATTGATCTAATCTGCTATATTTTTAATATTTTTCTCATATTTCGCGAAAATGTGCAACTTTTTCGCGATTATTATTATATATTCATATTCGTATTTTACGAAGGAAGATATGGGAAATTACAAAATTCTTTTAAAATTCCATTAAAAAAAATGTGAAAATTTTTTTGCGAGAACATTTATGATTTTTGGTACATAGGTTAAGAAAAATATGTTTATTCGAAATCTGTTCGCGTTCACAAATTCGGATGCTGCGCACAAAAGTTATAGCGGTTTTAAATCTTGTATTTCAAATATATATTAAATGGATTCCTTTTTGTTGTAATTCGCGAATTTCTTCACAAATGGATTAACACATATGTTTTCTTTGCATACTTGTCAAATCACATTGAAATACGCTACAATATTCGCGAAAAACAGAACTTTTTTCTGAATTTTAAATTTTTTAGTGTGGTTAAGGGAATCCGGTTTTGTCTTAATCTTCTAAAATATATGACGCTTTTTTCTGCAAATTCTTTTGCATGATTGTTAAATATCGGTAGATTCATCTGATAAGAATTTCGACTTTAAAACTGACTAAATATATTACACTTACAATACATAAAAATTGTCAATATTGAAAAGAATGCAATTCGTGTATTCGCGGAAATCAGTTGTTGCGCATGCGGTTTTCGTATAAACCGAACCAATCTCTTCCAACAATTAGGAATTTTTCGATGTTTCATTTAACGGCTAAAGTGTGCCGCTCGATGCAATTTACTATGCAAAAACCTTAAAAATGGCTAAAAATGACGCAAAGTGCATACGATTTTTATGCGCATCCGATTTCAGTAATCTCCTATGAAAATACACAAAAGGACACCTATTTTAAAAGGATCGGTGAAGAACCGCAGATGTGCCTCCACAATCGATTTTGGATAAAATACGCATATTATTCGCGTATCGATATATTTTTGACCTATTTTCACACAGATTCGCGAATATGATAACACAAGCATGAATGTATTTAAAATCAATTCGAAGAAAAACGCGATTATATACGCGAATTTGTCAAAATAAGTTTTTGCAGTTTTTCCCACATTCAAGGTACCTATATCCGCCGTTTTATTGGGCGGAATTAAACACGGATGGGCTCATTAGATCCGGCACGTAAAAAAACTAAAATCACGCGGGGTTCCACGGAATTTGAATGGACTTTCTTAATTTTAGACTGAAAAAATATGTTTTTTATAAATATTTACGCACCAAATTTTCGTCTTTGGAACCCAATTGCAAAGAAGCTACGGTGAGCACATTCATGAGATATACACTAAACTAAGCAAAATCACGAGTTCTACAATCCTATAATCAGTTTAGTCCATTATCTGGATGCGCATCCTAATTATAAGATAAATTCAAAAAACACCGAAAATCCGGCTTCAAAATTTCAGCATCCGTTTTGGGTGGATGCAGTGATTATATCGAAAAATCATACATTAGAACCATATTGTCCATAGGGTATTCTGCAAGTTAGTCACTGATCACATGTACGCACACGTCGTGTAGTTTAGCCACAAATCAGGAAGGAACACAAAAAACTCGTTGGTTTCAACACATTTTCACCCATATTTTTACATTACCACCATCACAGCTTCCACGCAACTTATTATTTATTACCAATATTTTAAGATTATGACAAAAACACTTCATTTTATAGAAATGCATTTAAATTATATGCAATATATTCATATTTCGCGAGTTAAAACCTTGCAAACCTCAGCTTCAAGGAATTTAAAAGATTTTTGTAATTTCCCATATATATGAACGTTTTTGGTCAATTTAATAGAACGAGTAATTTTAAGATTTTTCCCTTACGGCCAACATTAAAACCTCTATAACTTTTGCGCGCATCAACCAAATATTTGATCGTGAACGGTTTTGGAGTTAGAACATTTTTCTCTATATGCGTACCAAAAATCATTGATGTACCACGAAAACAAAAAAGCCGATTTTTTGAAAATGGAATATTAAAAAATTGGCAATATTGCCCATATATGGATATATATTAACAGAAATTTCCCATCAACTGCAATTTGAATAAATACAGTAAGAGATTGACTTTTTATTACCATATGTTTGTTTGCATTAACTCGAACATGGCCAAAGTCAATTTTATTTTATTTTTTTTTTCTTGTATTGTACCACGTGTACCACACTACTCGTATAACAATGTGTCTAAAAATATAAATTCGACTACTCTGAGATATCTTCCATTTAAATGCAAACAATATCTCTCTGTGTGTGTGTGTGTTAGATAAAAATAAAAAAATAAAAAACAAAAGAGATAACAGCAGATGAACATCGTAAAGCTTTGTTGTCGGTAACCACTGTCGTTCGCACGAAAGAACGAAAGATTATCTCTGTTCGCAACAACCGCAGCAGGAGTTTATATGGATATATATTAACAGAAATTTCCCATCAACTGCAATTTGAATAAATACAGTAAGAGATTGACTTTTTATTACCATATGTTTGTTTGCATTAACTCGAACATGGCCAAAGTCAATTTTATTTTATTTTTTTTATGTACAGGCAAAAGGAAATGACATATACACATGAGCCTAGAATTAAGTTCTGAGTCGATTTATATATGTCCGCCTCCGTCCGTCCGTCTGTCTGTCCAGGTTAAATTGTAATTTTATAATCCCCATTGGATGAAATTTGTCACAGCTCATATATTTGGCCCAAGCACGAACCCCATTGAAATTGGGGAAAATCGGTTAAGATTTAGATATATATTTTTCCCATATATATTTTCATCCGATTTAAGTCCCTATATAACACTTTCGATTTGCACGAAATTTGACATTGCGTACTGAATTAAGTCTAGAATGATGAGTGTTAAGTTTTCTGAAAATCGGTTCAGATTTAAATAGCATCACATTTTAGAATAAGTTTAGAGTTGTACGAATTGGTCACCTTTGGCACAAATTATGGCCTTCAAACTACCAATGAAACCGTCACACGCTGCCCGAATGTTGCTCTGCGGTACCTTTCCCGGCGAAGCGCTTGCTTTGGTATTTATTACCAACCCTGTTTTCCAAAATACTCCAGACACAATAGTCCAACGGATTGGTATCCTGAGATTTTGGTGCCATTGTGCGATGGAAATGAAGCGAGGAACCTCATTTTATAACCATTCTTGGGTGGCGCGTGCTGAGTGCGGTGGTGCTGAATCCAGTTGGAATGTCCAAGGTCAGCGGCCAAAATGTTTTCGCGATAATATTCCGAATTTATTCTGATGCCACGGTCGATTAATACGAGCGGAGAGTGACCACCAGCTGTTACGGCGGCCCACACCATCACCACGGTCACATGTCTAAATCGACTCAGCTAGTCGAGACCGTTATGTTTAAAGGTGGGTCTAGGACCAATATTTCGCCCCGTTACAAACTCTTGGGGCTGCTATAAAAGCTATAAAACCCTGACAATATAGTTGTGTAGGGTATTGAAAACGAGTTTCAGAACCTAATGTCAAGCAGTGCTAAAGGACCGCCTGCGACCATTTTTAAATTTAAGATAATTTGCCGATAATATAAAAATAGACCTAAAAAATTTGCATGTAAAATTTTAAAGAAAATATTAAAATAGATTTTTACTAACATAGCCTGCTGATGATTTAAACCATATTAACCATATTAACAGTATTTTGGATTCTCAGTGTGTAGGTCTACTTTTTAGAGTGGGTCCCTTCTCAAAAATCGGTATAACGTGGCGTTTGGCCACGATTTCAAATGTTGACCCTTTGTGGTTAAGGTATTTGACGCTTTGGACCGCTAAGCTACTTCTTCAAACTTAAAAAAGTTCAGTTAAAATATTAGGCTCTGCGAAATCCGATAATTTTGATAATTTTGTGGGAATGGTCCGTTATTTTCCATCATTGAACATAATATAAGTTTGGATGAAATATTACGATGTGCAAAATGTGGATGAAATCGTTTACTCCTGCCAGACAGACAAATAAATTGACCTTTGTAAACCAACTCCACATTGTCTGAAACGGATTTGGTCCGTACACTCTAAAACCGATATTTCGATGAGCTACATTTTTTATCGTAGCAAAGTGAATATACCCCCATTAGCCCTAAGGCTGAGGGTATAAATATATATTCCATTTTCTAAATTTTGTTTTTTCACTTCAAACCCAATATTTTAAAATTTGTCGTTGTTGTTTATCCAAATAGTGTTTGTGTGCATGTTTTGAGCCAATTTGATGGCGGTTATTGATTGAAGTAAGCCATATGTGTTAATTAGAGTTTAAATAAAACATATATATATATATATATATGTTCATCATGTAGCGATGCAAAAACAAACCACCAATACCACGAAAATAAAACTACTAACCACAATTTCACTGCAACGCCAGCTACAAAGTGATATTTTATCAAACGATTCCGAACACATCAGAATTGAAATTGTGTAAAGTGAAAAGAAAAAAAAACCGATTGTGCAACAACAATATTCAGACACCGGTCGTTTTTAATTAATGACTTGCCATTTAGTTTGAAGCTGGTTGCAGAACAGCATTTCAACATGACTACAAATTCTGACATTGACACTTTCCAGCCATTAAAGCCATTTACATGGCCTGTAAAAATAGACAATGTTACAGAAACCACTATCATGTCTACGACAACAACAACAACATCGGCGGGAACAGCAACAACGACAACACTTAATTTACTACAACAACAACAGCTGTTTACAGCGAACACCGAACTTAATAACAGCCTCATGCAGCCTCACAACAGCAACAACAACTCGTCCACGATTAACAGCAACAGTTCTCTATTCGAGAATGATAACGAAGTCCTGCAAACCATTGAATACATTGGCAATGTCCTGTGCTTCTACTATGTACCGATTATTGTCGGCACCGGCACCATCGGTAACATCCTCTCGGTTGTTGTCTTCTTCAAAACGAAGCTACGCAAATTATCGTCGAGTTACTATTTGGCCGCACTGGCTGTCAGCGATACTTGTTTCCTGTTCGGCCTGTTTATCCAGTGGCTGAACTTCATGGACGTGCACATCTATAATCGTGAATATTTCTGTCAGTTCTTTACGTTCTTCAGCAATCTGGCCTGTTTCTGTTCGGTGTGGTTTGTGGTCGCATTTACTGTGGAGCGCTTCATTGCGGTCATGTATCCCTTAAAGCGTCAGACAATGTGCACAGTTCGGCGAGCGAAAATGGTTCTGTTGGGCCTAACGTTATTGGGTTGTCTGCATTGTGCTCCCTTTTGGATCTCGTCGACGCCGGTTTATTTGCCGAAATTGGAGATTACAATATGCGATATTAAAAATGAATATAAGGTAAGTGGATTTGAATGTGATAATTATCCTTACAAAGTCATTCTTACACATATGTTTCACATATGTATGTATAGTATATTTTTATCTGTGTGTATGTTGGAAAAGTTCATTGAACAGAAGAAAGACAGCCGATTAATGCATTTTAACCCTTTAAGGCCCGAAATCTTTTGCCTGATCAATAATTATAAGAAACACAAAATTTTGAAAGTTATATTCAATATCGCACCACTGTGGGCCACGAAATCCAATTTTGGGTAAATAGTTAATAGCAGAGAAAGAGAGAGAGAGAGAGAGAGAGAGAGAGGAAAAATACGTTAAATATTTCAAATCTTGAGCTTTACACCGGTAAAATGTCATATCATTGAGGGGTTTTCATATTTTTGTTAATGTAATTTATATTTGAAAAATGTAATATAACATAGACATGTGTCAAAATATTAACAGGCAATGATAATTTAAAGATAATGCTCAAAATTTTTGTATGTGACTTAAAAAAAGCTCTAAACCTAATAACTCCGATCGAGGCCTTGATATATTATCTGTCCAGAATTTTGCGACCGTCAGCGACCTTTCATAGACATACTAGTTATTGTCCATAATATAAATATAGTCCTTGAAATGGGCATATAAAAAATTAATTAAAAACCCAGTGGGCGAAAAATTTGTGTGGTTCTATATCCCGAGTCTGGACAATATTTTGCGATATTTGTACCCTCTTGACTAATTATAGGTCTATAGCTCAACATTCTAACCCTGGTACATTCTCCAAATCTTGTTTTCCCGCGTTGAATATTTACGCCATATAATAAAAATTTTGTCACATTAGGTTTTGAACAATTTGTGAGTCGGAATATTGACCGATCATCATTTAAACAACCGTTCTAAGTATAACTGTGGCCTGCATCGTGTTTACAAATTATAATGAACAGGCGGACGGACGGGCATACATGTCTAGATAGACTCAGTTAGTTGAGATGTGAGGATCGGTATACTAAAAAGTGGGTCTAGGACCAATATTTCGTGTATTACATACTCTTGGGAAAGCCACACAAAGCTATAATACCAGAAAACCTAGTTATACCATATTAAGTACAACTTATATTAACATAGCAAGTTGATGATAATTTTGGAACCAAATTGGCTGTAATTTGCTACTTTTACTTCTCATTGTGTAGAACATATTTCCATTATTTTTATATAAACTATAGGACTTTATTTAACATGCTTCGTAATGTCCGATTTGGGCCAAATATTCACCGTTTTTTGTATGATTTGTTGCCATTTTAAAGGTAACCTCATAATGCCTCTCTCATAGAAGTCCTGCTCTCTATTTGCAAAAAAAACTCTAGTAGTCGATTTTCACAATCCTCTCTAGATACCAATTTTTTATAATTAAATAAATTTTGCAATGCAAGATAAAAATGATAATCGCTTGGGGCAACGTCCGGACTCTGTGGCGGATGCATTAAAACTTCCGAACTAAGCTCCCGAAGTTTCTGGTGAGCTACCGTTAGTCCTGGTTTGGTCACCGTTTGAGATGCTTCACCGCTCTTTGACCACGATCGTTTTCGCACAGGGTTATCGTATGTCATCCATTTCTCATCTCCAGTCACCATCCGTTTGGCCAAGACTTCGCAGATGGAAATTCGATCCATCATATTTTTTTCTGTTAATTGGTGTGGCACCCAAACATGGAGCATCTTTTTGAATCCAGCTTTGTGTAAATGGTTTGAAACTGTTTTATGGTCAATTTTTAGCTCCAGGGCGATGTTACGACTGCTAACATGCCGCTCAACTTCGATCATTTCTCCGATTTTCTCGACATTTTCGACGACCGATATGGATTTTTCCCCCAACCTATTTTTTTTACCAAAAATAATCAATTTTGGCCCACTATTTGGCCTAGACTCCATAAAGCGGTTCACTCAAAAATTCATTGGGTGTTAAATCTTATTACCAAAAACTCTCAATATTGACTTATGTTTCGAAGTAGGCCTCATGTAAACCGACGATATTTTGCGGATTTTTAACACTTTTTTTGAAATTTTAAAAATTTTTGATCCAACAAGACCGTGTATTTTCTGTATACATGATCCTGCATTTTTTGACGTTGATTTCATCCAATTGATGTACTGTATTTTCCGAAACATATTCTTCAATATCAATTTATCCATGTCTGTCGGCTTAATTTGTTATGGACTTGCATATACACTGGTAGCCAAAACTAAAGCAACTGAAATTGACAACTGAATAAATGACCTGTAACTTTTTGCAAATAAAGTTATAGTGAAAGTTTTTTTCTGTCAGAAAAAATAGGTAATTTATTCATTAAAAAAAAAATTCGAACGCAAAATTTATTTTGAAATTAAAAATTTTCCATGGAAAACTAAATTGACCCAATTTTTGCTTGCTCAAAACCAAAGCAACTTTTTGATTTTTTTCTTAAATATAAGCAAATTTTGCTAGCAATCGACAGCATAATCATTATTTTTCATTACGGCAGCACAGCCACGAGGCCTTGGATCAATAAAATGTTCAATTTGATCCTTGGGTTTACCATTCCTTGCATCCTGAACCTATGAGTGGAGACTATGTCTGTTTGTTTGTGAAACTCTTTTGATGTTGCTATCCATGATACTCCGAACATTTTTTTATAGGATAAAGGGATTGCTTGGCGATTATAAATCCCTGATTTATGTTTTGGTGTATGTTGACATGTTTTGGTGTATGTTTAAAGGTTATTGTCAAGTTGAAACACTCAAACAAGCGGTACATTTCCTTCAGCCAAGGTAACCATTACGTTTTCCAACACATTTTTATAAACAATCCGATCCATTACATCATAAATCTAGTAAATATATCGAACTACATAAAAAGAAAAACAGTCCAATACCATTACTGGCCCTCCTTCACGCTTTCCAGTACCCTTGAATATACTGAGGCATGAGCCTTTAATTTTAGGACTTTCTCACAGTAATTTTTCATGTCTGAATCTTTAATATTTAACTTTAACTCAACCCAGATCATAATATCGACACCTCCGAACCATAGTATGCTAAGTCTGAAAAGTGAGTTTTTCAGTAGAAGCTTCCAAAGTATGGAAGTTTCTTTAATCGTACGTGCCATGTTAAGTACATTTTTGCTTATAACTTTGGTTTGGATTGGCCGATGATTACCAAAATTTCAGTGAATTTAAATTTAGGACCGCAGTAAAGAACTTTAAAACATGCTAAGTCGACTTAGCATACTATGGTTCGGAGGCGTCGATATATCTTCACCGAGTCGGATTTCAATTAATATAAACTTTGCGAAAAGCAATCTGACCTTCCGATTCTTTTCAGAAATAAAGGCCTACTGACATAGCTCGTTCACGCTCTGTTCTTGAGGTGATATCCAACGACGTTGAACTCTTAAATGGTGTTTTTTACTCCTATTACAATTTGTTGATCAGTACGAACTGATGTTCTTTTGCAGACTTCCTCCGTTCTAAACTGTCACTACTGTTTTAGTTGCATATAATTCGACAAATCACTGATTTATTCATGGAATATTTCACGGAAATAATTTTCTGTGATAAACTATATTCAATGAAAAAAGTGATTCAGTGAAAAAAGTACCCGATTTAAATCTGAAAAAAAAAAACATCACGATTTCTTTATTTTTGAAAAAAATATGTTAACTTTGCGATTTTAGTTGCTTTAGTTTTGGCCACCAGTGTATAGAACATAACTGTGTTTTTAATTTTTCTTTTATTTCCAATTTATGATAATTACATACAATAAATCGTTGTGTCGGCAAGCGAAACAAATTGCGGTTAAATGGGTTAATGATGCTATATATAGCTGCAATGCAGACTTACTGAATTAATTTTAATAACAACACATAATGACATTTCTTCGAAAATATCCAAGGAAAATGGTCTTTGCAAAATATTTCACAGGAATTTAGATTATTTTAAAACATCGTAGAATTTTAGTTCAATACCAGTGGAGCTTGTAACAAACAGTGTCGTAATGAGATGTTTGGAGATTTTCGTTATATTGTTTTCTGATTTACCAGCCAATGTGCCGAAAGGCAATGTTTAAAAAGAAAATAAATCCCACTCATCGGCGTTGTATGCTGCATTTCCTGAGTAGGTAGGTAGGTTGCCTCCGTCTTTGTAGAACGGCTTTCACCATGCACATTTTGAAATTGGGTATTGGATTTCAATTTGTTACATTTCTCTTCTATTCAAAACAAGTAAAGCAAATGTAAAGACTGCTTTGCGAAAACGAAAAAAAAAACAATAAATCGGATTTTTTTCTAAGAAATATGAGTTTTTGGTACTATTTTTTCAATTAACCGATTTTTCATTTCACTTTTAAAATAACAAAAGCTTTAATGCAAAATTCATTATGAAATATATAAAAATGTATGGATAATCTAATTTTTTGCTTGGACAAAACTAAAGCAACTCTACAGTGCAGACAGATAAACTCAAAAATTTTATTTATTTTTGCGAAAATAATTGATCGTAAAAATTGATATCTGAGTGATTTATTGAATTATAAGTTTATTTTATGCAATTATATCATGAGAAGGCCTAAAAATTAAGGACTCAGGCCTCAGTATTGCACGGGTACTGGGAAGCATGGAAGTGGGTCAATAATAGTATTGGGCTGCTTTTCATTTTATGGAGTTCGATATATTTACGAGATTTATGGTGTAATGGAACGGATTGTTTATACAAATGTGTTGGAAAAAGCTATGGTTCCCTTCGCTGAAGAAAATATACATGTCAAAGATTGGTTCTTGGAGTCAAAAAACAGGGTTATATAATGGCCAACACAATCATCGGATCTTTACCCTGTAGAAAAATATATGGAGTATCATAGATAGCAAATTCAAAAAGAGTTTCAAAAGCAAACAGACATAACCTCTTCCCAAAGGTTCAGGAAACAAGGAGTAGTATAACCAAGGATCAAATAGAGCATTTTATTGACTCAATGTCTCGTAGGTGT